TACAATACTTAAACTAAATCGTTCTGCTCCCTTTGCTACCCCCTCTCTGTTGAAGCAGGAACTGGAAGGAAAGGTTGGGTGTGCAGTGTGGATTACCACTACCACGGCACAGTTGTGCATTGGAATGCAGTTAGTGCAATCTCCACTGATTGCCACTTTTCTCCAATTGCAGGCATAGCCTTTGAGGAAAGCAAAGGATTTTCTCAAGCAAAGGGGCAGTGCATTTCATTGCCTACTGCTCAGTTTCCACTGTATATGTCCCCATTCGCTCAGGTACCCTTCTTTCCTTAGTCTGATGGAACAGTTTGGTCAGGAGGCCAGCAGGGTATGGCTGGCCATAAGCCATAAATACTTCTCCTGGCCAAGAAGACGTGGGATGTGACCAGTCTCTCCTGAAATGTCTGTTCTGTATGAAAAATTGAGAATGGTGGAATACATGCTTAAATATGAGATCCTTTATCTATGCAATTAAAGATTTAAGTCACTAGGGCTAGGAAGAGCCATGAGACTTCAGAGAACTGCTGCCAGTTAGAGTGGACAATGGTGGGTTACATGGACCAGCATTCCGACTCACTGTAGGACAGTATCATTATCTTTGTATTATCTTTCTTAGGGCTAATTCCTAGAACTGGCACACTCAAGGTGGTGGCTTTCTTCCTAGGACCCTAGAGGGCTCCTGTAGCAAGACGTTTATGTGACTCGATTGCTATAAAACTCAATGTTTTGTGCATCACCTCCTTGTGAAAATGAATATGTATGAGGGGCCCCAGATATTGGCTTGTGGTAAGCAAGTCACATGACTTGCTTATCCCAAGCAGGAAGTTAACACAGGTTCATTAAAACAGAATTCCAGCAGTTGAGTGAATCAAGACTTGTTTATTTATTTAGAAAAATTCTGTCCAGCCTACCTGCTCAGTGAGGGCCACCAAGGCATTGTTATTGGGAATGTCAGTGAAAAACACTTCTCCTCAACTTGTCTGGCCAGATTTTTTTTTAAACTTGACTAGCTCCTTGTCATTATTATCTTTATAATGTTGACTTAGGAAATTTATGCTGAAGTTCTGCCAAATTTTTACCTGAGAGGATAAATCTCTTACATGACTGGCCTTGCCTGCTGAAGAATTCTGGCTATGTTGGCAGGGTGGAGAAGCACGTTCACTGGTCTCTTCATGAAATGGTGTTCCCTGCTATTCTAAAGGGACAAGCCGTCTCTTCTACTGTTTCTATTTGCATCTGAGCTCAGACCCCTAAGACAGGAAGGATGAGATGCAATTGGAAACCAGCCTCGGCTATCAGTGGATTCAGAAATGCAATATGAGCTCAGCTAGGAGGTGGGCTGAACAGCCCTTTATGTGGCACATGTGACTTTGGCCTAAGCCCATACTCAATGCATTTTCCTCCTACTTTTGGCATTTTCTAGTTTCATGCTAGTGTCTTAGAGGTGCCATTACTGCTCCTACTTCTACTCCTAAGGTAATCAAGTGACTTGAGAGGGGAAGGGTTCCTATGCAGCCACTATGCCAGCTTCAACTCTATCAATATTAATAAGGGATTATGATGTCACTTGACAATATCATTGGGGTGGAGTGAAAACTTTGGAGCGGAAGTATTCCTCTGTGCCATACTGTGGCTACCCTGGATCCCACTGAAATGAACAGTAGTATATAATAAATGTACACTTGCCAGCTATTAGGAGTTTGGTAAGACACAAGTAAGGGGCTGCGGTGGCTCAGAAGTTAAGACACTGAAGCTGCAGACCGGTAGGTCTGTAGCTCGGCAGTTTGAGACCCGAGTGCCACATGATGGAGTGAGCTGCCCTCCCTGGCCCCAGCTCCTGCCAACCTAGCAATTTGAAAGCAAAAAATTCCAAGTAGATAAATAGGCACCGCTTCAGTGGGAAGATAACAGCATTCCGTGCCCATCGACATTTATTCATGCTGGCCACATGACCACAGAAATGTCTTCGGACAGTGCTGGCTCGTTGGCTTGGAAACGGAGATGAGCACTGCCCCATAGTCGGATTCGACTAACTTTTGAGCAAGGGAAACCATTACCTTTAAGCCACAAGTGGGCCTCACAGTCCTATGTCTCTTTACTCAGGACCAAGTCCCACCATGATCAATTGTTCTTACTCCCAGGAAAGTGTACCTAAGTTTCTGGGCCACACTACTTGAGGCTCCAGGTCTGTGCAATCTGTTGGCATGCAAATCTATTTAACCTCCAACTGCATTCAACCTCCAAAATCAGACAGGGAAAATGCTTATCAAGTTTTCTTTCTGGAGGGAATTTTATGGGGAAGAATTTCATTGTGTGAACTCCTACTGTAGTCATAACTCAAGCCCTAAATGGCTTGGAACCAGGTTACCTTGAGCGCCACCTTCTCCAGCATGAACTTCTGGCCCTTGTCAAGTTGGTTGGAGAGGCTCCCCATTAGAAGGCCAGTCACGTGTGATAGGGCCTTCTCAGTAGCTGCACCAGGAGTTCTCTAGAAATGTGTATTTTGGCTCCATTCCTTTCAAGATTCAAAAGAAGACTAAAGAAGAGTACTCTCCTTTTATGGACTTTTGGTTTGAATCAGCAGCAGTAGTAGAGGGGATATTCTGATTTCCCCTTTCCAAGGAATGCTGGATTTCTGGCTTATTCTGCTCTTATCTGCTGTAAGTTTTTAAAGTCATACATGTGTGTTTCTAATATTTTTATTATAGACCACTTGATAGTGCTATTGAAAAGCAGGGCAAATTTTTAAAGATCAAAGAAAGTAATATGACCTCAGACAAAGTCTTGCAGTCACAGTGAGAACTAAGCTAAAGCTAATAATGATTCCATCCAGGAATCATTATTAGCTTTAGCTTAGTTCTCACTGTGACTGTACTCTCCCTTTCGTAGCAGTTTTCCTAGGATATTAAATGCTACAGTGAGGTCTTCCAGTGGTTACTCATATGTTTAGTCCTTTAATATGTGCAAACGGGGGGCATTTACACTGGTATTTTGTCCAGTGAACTTGCTGCTGCCAAATCTGTTCCTTGGCAGTAAGCTCTTGTGGACATTAATGAGAGTTACCCCCGTGTCAGTGTACCATGTAGGCAAACACAGCAAATGACCATTATTCAAGGAAAGGCAGATGTGGCTATGCTGTTTTTATCTTGCTGACTTAGTGACATATTGTTTTGTCAGCTGCATGAAGTCCAAGGAGACAAGACAGGATATAAATATGTTAAATAAATAAACGTAATAATCTATTGCAATATATCCTTATATAACTTTACTCTTACAACCCCCCTGCAAAGTAGGCTAGGTTGAAATATAGTATCTTATGTAAAGCTACATTTTTGAGCAGCGGGGATGGGGGAGAAGGAGGTGAGTCTTGCTAACAGCACCCATTTAATCTCAATTTGAGTACCCCTGACTTTTCTTCCCAATGCCCACCTCCCCCCACAATTCTCTCACATTACAGAAAGCAAGATACCATGGCAAGGCCAGAGGGAAAAGGTGGCTCTGAAAAAAAGGAAGCATTGCTCAAATCCACTTCCTGATGTCTGACTGCTTCCCTTCTCCAGCAGGAGGACTACTGACTTTCTGAAAACCTGCCTGGAAGTACAGGATGCAAAAGAGATTGCTTACAACCTGAAACCATTTCACCTGTGCATCTATTTGCATGGGAGTCAGCCGGCTTGCAATTTGTTAAAGTCACACTAAAAAGAATGACAGTGGCATTAAAAGAGGGCAACTCTGACTGCACTGTGACTGGCTGTGAGAATGCTTAATGTCCTATTTAGTCTGGTTGGGGGGGGGAATGTGGGCTAAAATGCTTTCAATAGGATGCCATACAGAACTACAACCCAAATCCCCGTGCATTCAATGCCCTGTTTTTGGGGGCCTCCGCAGTTTTTGGGGGCCTCAAATGGGTGTCCCGGGCCATCCTGGATGCCCAGGAGACCCTGATGATGTTTAAGGCTCTTGCTTTAATAGGTGAGTTTCCACCACCGGTGAGAATTCCAAAATAATATTTGGAATGCGCAACCTCAGCTTCAGTCAATCTTGCGCTGGTCAGCCGGGACTTTGAAAACAACCGACCCTTCCTTCTCTCTCTGCCTCACGCTGGCTCTTCACTAGTCCTTGTTTCGAAATGCGTGCTGCCGCTGCACCAGCCAGCCATTTGACAATGCGTGCTCTAACCTGCAAGCCCTTCGGAGATTGCTCCACACACAGGCGGCGAAATGCCAGCGGAGGAGCCAGCGCCGCTCACAAGCGATTGCAGATCTTCACCTGCAGAGAAGATGCCACACAAACAGGAAAGGTCTCGAGGCTGCTCGGCATGTTAATATTTCCAGGGCTGTAAACCAACGTGACACATAACGCTGTCTCAAGAATCTGCAGCCGCCGCAGCCCTTTAAAAAACGTCTCTGATTTTCACTACCTGCTCGAAATGAAATGCACCGCAAGCGTGGAATTTTAGGCTGGTCTTCGACACGAAAATCACTGCTATCCATTCCTTGGCCCCGCCGTCTTATTTTGGATCGGCTAAATTTATCCTGCGGGCTCTTTTTCTCCGCAATTGCCAGCAACATACCATCAGAGTGGGGACTGAGGGACTGGAAGCCAGCAAACCCAAACCCAGTTCCTGTTAACACGCCCCAAATCTAGTTTATGAGCGCAAGATTGGAGTCGGTGGATTCACTACGAATTCTAAAAAAGTGAACCCTCTGCGCGGCTTGCAGTTGCAGCCGCTAAGGAAGGAGGGAGGGAAAGTAGCAGTGAAATTAATACCAGCCACCCCATTGGCTCTCTTTCTAGGTGTTTTGCATATCCCCGCCTCTCCCCCGCCTTGACTTCTCCGGCTGGTTTGGGTTTGCGGGCCAGTGCAGTGCAGGAGTCCGGGCGCGGAGGAGGAAGGAGTCTGGAAGTGGCGTCTGCTGCTCCGAATTGAGACGGAACACAGGGGCGTTCGATGCGACTTTCGCCGAGCTCTCTCCCGCCGAGGCGGTTCGGGGTTTTCCTGTCTCGCGTGTGGATCTAAAGACGTGCCAAACCAGCAGTAAAGCGCGCGCGCGCCAGTGGAGCCGTGGAGCCTCCGCCAGCCACCCCCGAACATCCCCCCCCCTACGACTACTTTTCTTCTTCCTTTTAAAAAAGAAAAAGTTTCCCTGCGGGTGCAGCATGAAGTGCAGCGATGGCAAGGAGAGGTAAGACTGTGGTGAGGACGCTGGAAGATCTGACCCTCGACTCTGGTTATGGTGGCGCCGCGGACTCCGTCAGGTCCTCCAACTTGTCCCTGTGCTGCTCCGATTCCCCCCACGCGGCGTACCCCTATGGAGGCAACGGCTGGCAGCCTCTAACTGACTCCATGCACAGTCGACACAACAGCTTCGACACCGTCAACACTGTCCTAGTGGAAGACTCCGAGGTGCTGGACTGCGCCGGGCAACACTGCTCCAGGCTGCTGCCTGACCTTGAGGAGGTCCCCTGGAGCCTCGACGAGGTGGAGGCGCTGCTCCTCCTGCCGCGCCCGGAGCCCAGGGGCCTGGGGGCCGGGGCCACGGCCACCCTCGCCAGCTCCAGCAGCGCCGCCAGCTCCGCCACCGTCAGTAGCTGCGGCGGCGGCGGGGGCAGCCCGCCTTCCAAGGATGCGCTGGCCCGGCTCTCCACCTTGGCCAGCCGGGCGCTCGTCAGGCTGGCCCGGGAGGCTCAGCGGCTGAGCCTGCGCTTCGCCAAGTGCACCAAGTACGAGATCCAGAGCGCCATGGAGATCGTCCTGGGCTGGAGCCTGTCGGCCAGGTGCGCGGCGGCCGCCCTCGGCGCCTTGTCCCTCTACAACATGAGCAGCGGCGGCGGCGACCGCTTCAGCCGGGGCAAGTCGACCCGCTGCGGCCTCACCTTCTCGGTGGGCAAGTTCTACCGCTGGATGGTGGACAGCCGGGTGGCCGTGCGCATCCACGAGCACGCCGCCATCTACCTGACCGCCTGCCTGGAGAACCTCTTCCGAGAGGTCTACGCGCGGGCCCTCCAGTTTGCCGGGGCCTCGGCGCCGCCGCACCACCACCACCACCATCACCAGCAGCAGCAGCAGCACCATCTGCTCCTCCACCACCAGACACAACAACAACTACCACCGCCGCCCCCCTCGCAGCAGCAGCAGCACCAACAACCACCGCCGCCCCCGCCACAACACCAGAGGGGCCCAGGCGCTAGTGCCGGCTGTGGCGCTCCCTCTGCCGCGGTGCCCGCTGCTGCGCTGCCGCCCCCCGCTCCCGGGACTGCCGACAAGGACCGGGAGAGCAACGGCGGCAGCAGCAACAGCACCAGCCACGAAGCGCCAAAGTTTACGCTGGAATCCCTGGAGCAGACGGTCAGCAACGACTCGGAGCTGTGGGGTCTGCTGCAGCCCTACCAACACCTCATCTGCGGGAAGAACGCCAGCGGTGAGTCAGGCAGGCGCTGCGCAGGGCCCTGCCCACCTGTTGTTGTAGTGCCGGGGAGGGGAGACTGGCTGCAGCCGTCTCTGTGCAGGCGGCCCTGTGCCGCCGAGCGCCGCGGAAGTGAGGCGCTTCCGAGAGACGTGCAGGTCGGTGCTCTTTGGTGATAATCAGTCGTGAAAGAGGCTGAGCGGAGCATCTTAAAAGTGGGACAGATGAGACCTAAGTTGCGGTGCATACAGATTTACCTTGCCAAGTTTAGGTCTGCGTTCATGAAAATGAAATGACCTTTCTTGAGGAAAGCTGGGAAAACCCATTCATGCTAAATCAACAAATTCATTGGCCTCTTCTTCTAACTTGTGGAATGACAAGTAGAGGGGTGAACTTGTAAGCTCCTCCCTCCCTCTGGCTTTTACTGCATTTGTCCCCTTGATTCTTTGTAATCCAGTTTTTTGCATTGTTTATAGCATGCCATATACTTCTTCGCTGTATCATTTTCTGATTTTGTAATCAGCCTTCAGTGTCAGGGTAGAACTACAAAGTAAAATTCGGTGTCCCATCAGGAGTGCTGGTGTGGAAATAGTGCACTGTCAGGGTATCTCCTGTGCATTGCTATGTATGATTGTAGCTTCTGTCTACCCATTTGCAGTAATGTTGGAGAGGCCTGGCAGTGCCCATTGTTGTGGATAACTGTATCCCCTGGTTGGATTTTGGAGAACACCTTGTACACATTGGAGGGGTGATGCTGTATTCCTGCTGAACAGTGCTGGGGAGGCTGCATCAGATAACCCCTGATGGGATTTGTTACATGCATGCACTAACAGTCATCTTCAGTGGCGGGATGTATGCTGTATTGTTGAGAAGAGGAAGGTTGTGTACCATGCCCAGATATGTTGCCCAGGGCTGAGGGTTATATGCCATACCCACTTGTTTCTTGCACAGTGTATTTAATGCCTCCCATTAGATCTGTACTGGAAATGATTGTACTTTAACTCCTTGTATGGTGCAGAGGTATATGTGATTGCCCAGCCGGAGTGCTACTGAGATCTGTACACTTAAAAGTGTTTCTGGAAGGTTGGATCTCATCCTGCTTGTGGTGCAGACAGTGAAAAACCAGGGACCCTTGGAACTCAGTTGTGGATGGTTGCCCTCCACCCATGCCCACCTGTTCTGCAGGAGCAATCAAGATGGATTCTCATTCCATTGCTAGTTCTTAGGAGGTCTGCATTTCTGATACTTTTGAGACCACTGGGGCCACCCTGTGTTCACTTCAGCACCTGAATCTTTCCTTCTGCGTTTCTCGCATCCTTTTGCTCACGTTGTTTCATGTTGTTCAATGTCCACCCATCCCCAAACCTGACTGACTCAGCATCATACATGAGTAGCTTCTCTGTTGTACCGAATTCTTCCAGAATTTGCCCTCTTCCCAGGGGTGCAGCAGCCAGTCAGGTTTTGCAGCGTCTCCAAGGTTGGGGACTGCTCAGTCCAACTGGTGTGAAAGTACTGACTGTCCGTTTGTCAGGGTTTTCTGTTAAATGACTGCAAGATAGTTTCAAGTATTGTCCATGGATCTTTGATATGACTGCTCTTCATTGATTAAATGATCTCTTCACAAAGGAAGTCATTGCAGAAATTGTCTATACTACCTTTGTTTACAAGTTCTCCTGCTGTAGTGACCACTGCATCCCATATCAGATGGGCATGGGAGAGAACATTTTCCCACAAGTGTATGATAATAGTAATTCATGAAGGACCCACAGTTGCCCTTCAGTAAAGAGTGCATCTCTTTATGAGTGGCGCAGAAAGCCCATGATAATTGAAATGTAAATTTGTCTGTATGTGTAGCTCTCATCTGTTCTTGAAACCTGGATTTGTGCACTCTCAGAATTGCATGATGGTCATTCACATGCATGCACAGTTTGCTCAACAGGCTAAAGTCGCTTGTGAAAATACCCCCATTTTCCAGGAAACTGCAAAGCAGAAGTCAACCGCTGCTTTCTTCTTCTTTTCCACTATGGCTCAGCTGCTCCCTTGGACAGAACTCTGGCTGTACCTTCAGGACTGGCCTTGAGATTCTTTATGAAAAAGCTTCTGCCTCTTGCCCTGTCTTCCCTAGCCTGCTGGATTCCTTCTCATTCTGTTGAGTAGAATAGGGGAGGGTGGGACCGTTGGGTTTTTAAAAAAATCTATATTTTAAAAGCCCTCACCTTTATTTTATTTTTTTTACCTTGATGCAGTTTAAAGGAACACAAAAGAGGCTGAGGATCTGGTATTAGCATCAGTCTAACTGTTGAATTTGGGATCTCTGCGCACCACCCACTTCCCCACCAACCCCCAGACATCTGTGTGCAAGCACTATGCTGTGGGGTATTCATAAGGCTTTAATCATATGCATCTAGGGTGGTGAGCAGGAGAGAGATGGGTAATCAGGCCTTTCCCCCTGTGTGTGTGTGTGAGGGGGGACAGAGGCAGTTTCAGATATTACTGTCTTGTTCTTTCTGTTGGTTATATTACATGAGGATGAAAACCTTCTCTTTTGGGACTGCAGCCCAGTCGTTTGCACAGTAGATTGTGACAGGGAAGAAAGGCTGAAGGGATTAGGGAGAGACAGATTTGAGGGGCATCTCTGGGCATTATTTGTAATAACATCTGCAGTGAACTTCACAATTGAGCTCTTGGCTGTGTGGCTCTTGTTTTGTCTCTCTTCCTTTCTGTGTGTATTTTTGTAGAGGCTCCTCATATGGTAGAGCTGCACAGATTATACATGCATACTTCAAAAGCATTCATTTTTCCACAGGAAATCGTAGACGTGCAACTGAAAGCTGAGAGAGAGAGAAGAGGAATAAAACTTAGTTATATGCAGTGGCTTGACTAGCTAGAGACTGTGCTGTGGGAGCAGTGAAATGCAGTCTTTTGCTGGGGAGATTTTCTTTCATGTCACTGCTTGTTTACTGAAAGCTTGAGGCAGAAGAGGCAACCCAGATGATGCATCAGCTTCCCAGGGACAGGTTTTTATAAGGTATCCAGCAACAAATTGTAATGCCTCTCCTCCCTACCCACAAATCCTGAAACCCTCAGAGTGGCAGATGCATTATGTTTTTCAGACCCATGCCACAGCACAGGTAAAAACGGGAGCTTGGCTGCAGTAACATGTTAACGTTTGACAGAATCCAACACTGCTGGTGTATTTTATGACTCTCCTACTCTGTGAGATAACACCACTCGCTTGTAGTCTCAGAAGCTACAGATGAGATGCAGAATGCTGAAATGAAGGAAGCCAAAAGAAAGCCCCTGCCTAGAAGCTGCCTTTGTTAGTTTGCAGCTCAAAGAGTATCTTTATGTCTCCTGTTATTTTAAGACACCCTTTAAGGACACAAAATAATATTTTGTAACGGGTGGTAGAATGGTGGTTCATATTTAAATACTTCCATGAATAATGTGTTTGTAGTTTCTTCTAGCTTTTATTTCATAATATTTTGTTAGACTTCAATGGGTCTTTGTAGCTGTAGACCGAACCCCCCTAATGAATCTGGAAGTATGTGTTGTTGCATTTCTCCCATTGATCCTTTGTCTCAGCCCTCTTTTTATTTATCTCACTGTTGAATATAGCAAAAGATCCATGGAGCAAGAACCTGCCCTTTAGCTTGTAAATACCATGTGTGTGTATAGTGCTACTGTATAATACAAATAAAAACAGCATTCATCAGTTTGCTTCTTGGTTCTGTCCACAAGACTGGTATAGTGGTTAAAAGCGGTGGACTTTAATCTGGAAAACTGGTTTTGATCCCCCACTCCTCCACATGCAGCTGCTGGGTGACCTTGGGTCAGTCACAACTCTCTCAAAGCTGTTCTCTCAAGAGCAGTTCTCTCAGAGTTCTTTCAGCCCCACCTATCTCACAGGATGTCTGTTGTGGGGAGAGGAAGGGAAGGAGATTGTAAGCCATTCTGAGACTCTGAGTGAAGGGTGAGGTATAAATCCAACTATTCTTCTTTAATATCTCTACAGTCTGTAGCTCACATAATTGATGGACCACCTCTCCTGGAATAAATCTAAGCTCATCCTCAGTTCTGTCTAAAGTTCCCACATTCCCTGTCCTTTTAATTACGTCCCTTGTATGGCCTTCAATAGAAATTGGGCCTCTTGCTATGTTGTATCTGCCTTCCTGAAGTCATACACTCTCAGCCTAGCCTACTTCACAGGGTTGTTGTGAGGATGAAACAGAGGAGAACAGAACGATGTAAGCTGCTTTGGGTCCCCATTGGAGAGAAAAGTGGCATATAAACAGGTAAATAAATCAGTATTCCAGGCCCCAGGTCTATAGTCTTTCAGAAGAACCTTTTGGAGGGCTTTTTTCTTGATTCTGCTGGGTGTTACTACTGTTGGCTATTTAACATGTATTTTCCAGTATTTTTTGCTGGACTCAGGCCCCGGTCACACGGCAAAGTTGCCGCGGGAGAGGCACGGGAGTCCCAAGGATTTTCTGGGTGTGATTACACCCCAACATTTGGGAAGCGCAGTGCTCCCATGGTGAACCTGTGGCTCCCCGCCGAAGGTGCGGATGAAAAAACTAGTACTTACGAGGTACTCATTTCCGGAAACCGCGGGCCAAGGGCGGGTGTCTGATCGCGTTTCCGGTGGACTTATGTGGCATTTGGCACCTGTCTCCGCAGGTTGCGCAACAGCACCCAACAGCACATGTGCACAAAGAGCGATTGCTAGTGCGATCGTGCGGCGCGGCTTCTGTGCCACGCTGCAGGATACCCATCTGGTCGGTATGTCCCCCTAACCACGGGACCTTGACCGGGATATGTGCTCGGGCGGCCGCACGTTAGTTTCCTCTGGGGCAATTAGCCACGCCTTCCCCCCACGATATCCGGCCCGTGTGACCAGGGGCTCAGTTTGGTTGTTGGTGTGCTTTGTTGTGTTCTACTCTGTTTTTATATAACCATTTGGTTAGGCATGATGTTAACTTTCTTAAGTTGTTCATAGAAAGGCTGGGTTTACT